TCAGTTATCAGACTGAAAAAAAACTGCAAAACAAACAGAAAAATATGGCGAATATCATTGCATTATGCAGTATTAATTTGCTTGTAAAATCGGACTGTCGATTCGTTACATGTACCTCCATTTCCTGACCGGCTGTGCAGTGGCTAGAAAGGGTTGTCCTCTAAAGTAAACCGACCGGGGCGTGAAGTAGAGTCACCTTCATCTCGTGCCGAGGTTAACAATGCGTGGACACGCCTACTTTTATGTACTCATTTGGTTTAGCGCTTTGTATTTTGAACAAAAATTGTTAAATAACTTAATGTAACGCAGAAAGGTCAGCGATCCACAATCTCGGAGCCACTCCTAGATGGAGCTGTGTCTGTCTTGAGGTGTTTATAAGGATATGTTTACAGAGGTAACACGCTTTGTATTTGCAATTAGCTTCCCTTATCATTTGAATCGCGACAACAGTCTTCATTTGAATGGTTCTGCTGCCAGTTTTGATAATAACCTCCCATAGCATCTCAAGTGTTTTTGTCGGGCTGAATTCAGATAACTTTTTGTATACATTTAATAATAGTGATAGGAGTAAGATCTGGTTCATATCATCGGTTTGTGTTGTCTGTTAATTTCTTGCTGCGTTTATACTTTATCCCTTTTCCACATTAACCATTTTTATCTATTTATTTTATCTTTCTGTTACTCGTGTCATATCATGTCATTAAGTAAGCACTGTAATTTCTAAAATGTTAATTTGTTTCACTTGTATGAACTGTGATACTCTTTGAAACGAACTATATAAACAGAATAATATATAAATAAGTATGAAGATCAACTATGATTATACTTTATGTATGCTTTTTATATTCAGACATGAATACACATTACAGCGATTTCAGGTTCTTAGAGCGAATATGCACATGGACTGTCTTCTGGGATATTGCGCCGTGTAGTTAGGTAGAAATTTACCGACGATTCAGATGTGTTTGCTGCCTCTAAAATGTTGGTACATGTTTACCAGATTACGCGGCGGAATATCCCAAAAGATAGTCGTCTTCACGCCTTATAGTATTATGTATGATTGGTATGAGGCGAGCATTTTATTGTGCCGTCACGTGGAGAAAGTTGAGAAACTGCGATAGAAAGCCACAGCAATCAACATATTGATATTTGATAGAGATAAATCAAGCACGCAACTTAGATTATAACCAATAATTTAAAATCTGTCAGCTTGATACTAATCACTATCTGCATGCTCCAATTAGAGCATGGAAACAAATCGAAAAAGACCCTCTTTTTGATGATGAATACAGAATTGTTAACTTGATCCTTCAAGATGATGTCTTTTAGGTTTTAATGGATCTGCATGGGTGATGCATCTTTTCCAGGGTTGTTCTAATATTTGGTCTGTGTTTGAGTATTTTGTAAAATTTGCGTGATTCCGATAGAGGACACAGCTTTCAATTATGAAGGATGTCTGCGAATGCAGAATGTCCCAAAAAGATGTATGCACATACACAATATTAACCTTGCTATCGATATCCTTGTGCTGTGTTTACAAGGGGAACCTAGTGTGGTCTACACATAACAGATGGCACCGCAATATCTTTGTCCATGATTCAGATACGCAAAATGGCGGAGGGTCGATTGAGTCATTCGTTAATTGTGTGAATACATCTTTTTGGGGCATGCTGTCTGTCGAATTAAGTGGCAGTCAGCATTCAAGGAGTGGTCATGCAGCTTTGGGGTTGCGCGTGGGGTTGACCACCCCAAGCATAGAAATTAACATGTGACAAGAGGCAACGGAGCTGGACCGATTTTAGAGAAATGCGGTGTGACGGTCGGGACTGTATTCAAGTGGCTCAGGTTAAGGTGCAATTGAGCACAATGACGAATATTCGGTTTCCATAAAACGGGGAATTTCTTGACCAGCTAACCGACTGACATTTTAAAAAAAAATACCTTGTTGCTAGGAGTGAAGTGAATTGCAACAGAATCTTAAGATAAATACCGACGCTCTGAAAACTAGAAAAGTTTTGTAGCATCAAATAAGGTAGGCCTAATCATAAACGGCGATGAGTTCAGAAATTTGAAGTGGTGGTCTGATCTGTTTGATTTATAATCCAGTGTTTCGGGGGTGGTGGATGAGCAGAACTGTAAAACGTGCGGCTAGCGATGCTGTCTCATTTGGCAGCCATATTGTAATATAAAAGTGTTGACAGACTTTCTGAAAACTGCAATAATTTTTTCATACATCATTATTATAATTTCGAATAAAGTTATAAAATTATTATGCATAGACCCTTGACCTATCTGCCTCGATTTTATTGCTAGTATTAACTGAATTGTATTAAAATTTAAGTTAAATAAATAAGTAACTGATGTAAGTTAATTACACCAATCACAGTTAATCACATCATTCATAACGCGGTTTACATGAATTCCGTCCTTGGGATAGTCTATTTCCATTTGTCTGATGCCGTGGTCCGGTTCAAAACGTCAAATAACAGAATTGTTTCTGGACCATTCAGACCTGGAGTAAGGAAAAGATGCAGTATATTCCCGTGTTGCCAGGGTCCGGCACAAACTGATGGTGTGTCAGACGTCCGCGGTCCACTGAGCTCGAATTAGATAAGAGCAGCAAGAATGAGTCAACTTGGGAAGGGAAGCTGAAGATACTTATACCTAAATGTAATCTCTTGATACTTATCATGTATTTGTGGGTTTATCCGAGCTTTACAATAGATTGGGAAAGCTTGGCATTTGTGACCTTCGCTCATTCTGAACACGATGGTCATGGCATGGCAACTACATGCATACACGATGATCTTTGACTCCTGCATTCTCTATTGCGGTAATTATAATAAATTTGTTTCCAGTTTACAAATTTTTATGAATCTCTGTGTGAACATAACTCACTAAAATACGCCTTAACTTCGAACTTTTAAACTCCTTACCGTCACTAATAACATGGCGACTGTGAGAACCTCTGAGGCAGAAGCGACCCTGACATCAGGGGTCCTTGCATTTTGGGGCCGAAATACGACAGCAAAGTGAGTGGCTACGGATGGGAGGACTTAGGTTTGATTCATTGCAGGAACAAGGACTTTGTCCAGACCAACTCTGGGACTCACCCAGACCCAGCGTCCTACTCATGGGCACTCTAAGCTACTGACAGCGTCGACAATGAAACTACAAATAAATAAATACATTCCAGGCCGTAATAAGGAGGTGGTATCTATTCTTGCTGTCTGTTCACATATTTTATCTCAAAAATGTTAACCGAGTTTCGGTGAAGTTTGCTAGGTCTGCACTAATAATTGTCGTTATGGAATTAGTATCGGTTTAGATGAAATTATAATAATTCTGAAGTTTGTCATGTAGGGAAGTGGCATGTCTCCTGTCCTTCATGATATGTTTGTCAACACGCGTTGTTGCTCAATGTTTTTTAAACAACTCATTACATTTATAGGAATAATTCCGTCATTCCATTTCAAGTCTACAAAATTGTTAATTTTATCCAGTTAAAACCAGTGGAACAGATTATACAACAAAGCTCACGCTTGTATATTACAACTTATGATAAAACAAAATATTCTTGAAGAGTGTGATCATGTCAATTTATATTCTAAAACGAGAAAAAAGTGCATAACGTTTGTATTTCTGCCAAGTCGATAAGATCACGCCAGAATCGCCTGGACGATCTGACCCGCGAGAGGTCAGTCTGGCATGCGGCTGGCACGCAAGAACTCGGTGCCCGCATCTGTATTCTGTATTCAGATGCGTCCGGGGCACTATTCCGCCACTGCATTGCCATTGGGGACTGTGATCTGGTTTCAGCCTGAGAGTCACATGTGCGATCTTGGGCCGTGTTATAGCTCATGAGGTTAGTCACCAGCTTCATACCGCGAAGACATGAGTTCAGTCCCAGATATTCAGTGTTGAGGTATGTGGTACAAATGGACTAAGCCTCACTCCACTCCTATCGTTAATAATTAGGTGTCCTTTTCACGCTGTTTCATATTCAGGTGTTCTGGTTACTGTGTCGAGATCCGTGAGAAGGCGGTGGCCATGGGAAGAGCTAACCAGCAGGTCCCATCCAGGCGTCGTTTGAAACGTGTTTCGCTTTTCATTGCTTGATCCTTGGGTTACAAAATCTTCTCAGGAGATGGGCCGCTCAAAACTGACGCTAGCGATCGCCCAGTATTAAATGATTAAGAAGATTTCTGTCTTCTGAAACGTTGGTAAACATCTACCATACTACACAGCGCAACAACCCAGAAGACAGAAATCTTCATACTCACCGCTGTGAAAACCTCAAATCATGCACATTATATGATTCTTGGGCTACTCTAAGACGCGTTTTATGATGTATGGTTAATGCAGCGTCGAGTAGATTGCGGCATATTCTTAGCTTAATATCTGATCATCTACATGAACATACTGAAAAGAACACAATAATGTTATGTTAGATAGCCAGTTTGCTGAACGAAATTAGAAACCATGGCTTCCCAATTACCAACTAGGAATGTTAACCAACTCAGTTGTTTTGTTCGGTATTTTGCTGTTTCGTTAGTTCATATATAGGTCTACATGTTGAAGGTAGGAGACGGATCTTAGTAGAAATCCGCGTTTTCTTTTTTATATTTGAGCTATCGATAGCGTAACTCGTCTTCTGATGATGATAGCTCGACTGTTAACTGAACAGCAACATAATAACGCTGAAACAACAACTAAAATGAGGTTTCTGAGGACTGTCTCGTTATATAAATGAAATAATGTAAAATAATTAAACGGCTATTTGCCATCGTACTTAATGACAGTCGGCCAAACTTCTCAGGCTACATCCTGTGAAAGAGAAATACGGCAAAATAAAATTCCTTAGATAAGATTAGTGAAAACCAAAGATGAAGCGGGCCCGCCATATAAAATTTGGAAAGATCACTTCTGAGAAAATCGCTTTCAGTCAAGTCCGCGGGTATGAAACTGCTTACGTCAATATTTGTTCATAATTACTAATACAGAGTTTAATCCATTTTATTTTCGCGTACACATCATATACAGAGTCATTTAATACAAAATAAATCATTGCTCCAAGTATAAGTACCGGGTCTGCATTTTATGAGGCTGCGGTCGTGCTTGCATTGCGTGGTCGGCCGGCACTCTGTTGATGTGGGCGGGAGTTGTGCGCGTTCTTCCGGTGGGTGACCTGCGAATGAGTTTCAGTGCCGCTAGTAACAGCGAACTACGAATATTACTCGTCACTAATACATGTTATTACAGTAATTATTCTTACCTTAAATCACAAAAGATGTTCTAAGTGACTTCCTTGTGCTTGCAGGCAAGCTTTACATCTCGTTAATCGAAATACTCGAAGAAGCTCTTCTTGGGAAATTGCCGAATATTTTCTTTAAGTGCTTCTGCAGTGTGCGGATAAATTGTGAACGTTACGTAAATTTAATAGTTAGACTCTTTTCCCAAGAAATGACCGATGAAGAAAAGACTTACAGTTTCTTCATGCAAGACAATGCTAAGGCTCACACAGCTGACCGGTCGATGTTAGCATTGAGAAGTGCTTGGTGAACAAGTTATCGATCAGTGGCCTCCGCGTTCCCCAGACTTAAACCCGTGCGATTTTTCCTGTGGGGCATGCTGAAAAACAAAGTTTATGTAAACAATCCGCACACTGCAGAAGCACTTAAAGAAAATATTCGGCAATTTCCCAAGAAGAGCTTCGTCGAGTATTTAGAAACATGTTAACGAGATGTGAAGTTGTCTGCAAGCACAAGTAAGTCACTTTGAACATATTTTGCGATTTAAAGTAAGAACAATTAATGTAATAACATGTATTAGTCACGAGAAATATTCGTAGTTCACTGTTACTAGCGGCACTGAAACTAATTCACCGGTCACCCACCGGAAGAACGCGCACAACTCCCTCCCACTTCAACAGAGTGCCGGCCGACCACGCAATGCAAGCACGACCGCAGCCTCATAAATTGTAGACCCGGTATTTGCTGTACCTACAAATGAGTATCATACGAGTAGATCAGAAGAGGCAAACTTTACATTCGGTTTAATGCATGCCCCATCACTCTGAGAACAACAAATAGAATTTCAGACATTGTATCCCAATTAATGATGTTATACATATCGTCTGGTAAAATTATTAAGTATGTTTAGTCCTTGCAGACAATTGATAACTATTTAACCAATCAAAACTCTTGATGTTCAGTGATTATCTGCTGTAATATATGCATATATTTTATATGAACAATTTTTGAAAAATTAAATTGTGTTTCACCTTCATATGAAATAGGGGTTTTACTAGGCCTATACGGACCAAAATTATATTCGCCTTACGTCTTACTGCTGAATCATAATACCAAATCTAATCAAATCCGTTGAGTATTTTGAGTACGAACATGTAAATGTGAACGCATACATACACACACACACACAATTTTCGCATTGTTTGTGAAAACCTGAAAGTAAGGAGTCAGTTGAGAGATCTAGCCGCAGATGCGACTTTAATAGCGAAGTGGATCTTTGAAACGTGTAGTCTGAAGTTGCGGACGAAGTTCATCTGGCTCAGGGTAGGGTTCAGTGGCCGTCTCCTTTCAACACGGTAATTGACATTCGCGTTCCATATAAAATTGAGAATTTCTTGACCATCTGAGTAATTATCGGCTACTCAGATAAGAATTCTGCGCCATAAGCTAGTTATAAATTAAAAATATGGCAACGATGCGAAACCGTGAAGTTGTATATAGAAGATTTGACATATCGGAATTTTCAGTATTATCATTAAAAATATTATACAGAATTGGACTACCAAATGTTGTAATTATTAATCGATTATTACTGTAACCCACAACATACAGGCTTACACTGAAGAATTATAACAGCGTCATTAGTTCTTCCCAGCACATTTCGTTAGTCTACACCAGGGTGATCCGACGTTTTAATTACCTCAAGGCCAAGAACAGTTTTCCCGTTGGACCCAAATGCTACATAAACTCCTTTCGGCACTACTTTTGAAAAAAAAAAAAATAGCCAACTTTCAATATCATTAACAATGCTTATTCAGAAATGGTAAATTATCACAGTATATATTCAAATATAAATATTATTTAAATGTGCACAAAATAGTGTAGAGTAACATATTTTAAGTGTGCTCCTGCAACAACTTGTACCTGACACATTTCTGCCTGGAAAGCTTGCGTTTTACGGTAGGGGTTTGAAGTCGGTACCATGTGTGCCTTATGTCCGACAAGCAGCAGACAAGATACGAATAATGATTTTTTAATTTTGGAGGCTTTTTTAGTAAATTAGCCTGTAGTAACTAGTAACAAATTAAACAATTATTTCGCGGTGCTGGTTACAAGATGTCTAAGGCCGGATGTGTCCCGCGGGCCGCCAGTTTGATCACGCTGCTCCACACTTGTGAACAGAATGCATAAATAATGGCTTATATATCATATTGTGATGATTGCTTGACGTCAGGCGAAAAGAGTCTGAGTTTTCTCTCGTGCTCTTAGATTTTCTCTGGCTGTACATGAACGAAGAAGTTGAACCGTTATGGCAAATTATCAGCGAAAACAGCTTGGAATGTGTCTAACAGAAGATAATGGCTACATTTCGTCTCAGCTTTAGGCTTCTGTTTATTGAGTGTGATAAGGGATATGAGTACTGATAAAGAGACAACTGTGGTACAAGTGGAGAAGGAAAGTGTTAACTATAAATTTTCTCTGTAGAATTTGAAGTTTTCACGGCGGTGAGTCTGAAGATGGCCCTGATGATGAAGGGAGCCCTGATGATGGAGGCAGCAAGGACCTCTGAAACGTCGGTAAACTTCTACCAGACTACACGGCGCAACAACTCTGAAGACAGCCACCATCTATAAATATTCTTATGTTTCACAATTTTAGTACTTGCGTTTGCTATTAATATATTTAAAAACAGAGGTAACTGATCACAATTATATTATTTATGACATTAAGAACACTAATATGGATGTCTTCGAAAATGTTGGGTCGTGTATTCTGATAAATATTTACCGATTTTTCGGAGGAGGTTACTCTCTCCTTCATGAGTTGAAGAGAATATTTGGATGTAAGAATGGGAAAGTAACAGGTGGAGAAATGAGGAACATCGTTATCTGTACTCTTCATATAACACGGTTAGGATGATTAGATCAAGATGAGAAATGGCGGAACATGTAGCATACACGGGGTATGAGAATGCGTATAAAGTTCTTGTCTGGAAAACCGAAGGGAAGAGAAAATATGTTTGGACAGGCGTCCACTGGCTCGGAATAGAGTCCAGTGGTGCGTCATTGTGAACATGGTAATGGATCTCCGTGTTCCATAAGAGGTGATGAATTTCTTGACCAGATGAGAAACGCTAAGCTTTTCGTGGAGGATTCTGCTCTATGAAATTAGTGTTGTTTTGTTTATTATCAACATTAATTAATTAATTACTTTAGTTTCAGTGATTCATAATTTCTATGTTCCATTAAAGTATGTGGCAAATATTTGTAGAGTGGTTCGTAGTCCTATAACTGACCCATATGTAGGCCAGTTCATGAAATATTTATTTTGCTATTGTCATATGTATGTATTTAGCCCCAGCAATGTTTTGGTATTGTTGGTATTAGTTTTTTCATCATGTCAGATCTAAACTGGCTTTTACTATAGATCCTACGTGTGTTTATAACTTTGTCAAAAATGCATTGGAGCTCTTGATATTTCCTGTATCCAGCAGAATTACATTATGTATGGCAAGAAGCAATTTCTTAAATTATAATTTTTATTATGTACCAAGATGTGCAGGATTTATCTTACTGATGTGTAAAACTTTGGCTTTCGGGGACGAGACGAGTCGAATATTGAAAGTTATACAACGTTTCGGTAGACACTGCAGTTGCCATCTTCATGGTGACTGTGATGGCGGCTGCCTACTGCCTGATATATACCTATAAGGCTTCCAAAAAACGCCCAACCAACATATTCAACCCCAAAGGTACAACTGCAGTTTGCTTAAACGTTGGATAATTTTCGACATTCGACGTGAATGATCACAAAAAGTCGAAAATTTACATCGAACTCTAGCCGCGAAAACCTTAGGACAATAATTATTACTGATTTTACAGTTTGTCTGATTTTCATTACTACATCAGTATTCTTGAGGTCATCTCATTCAGGCGACATGAGAAATTTAACTCCACATTTAAGTACCGTGATAGATACTTTTGTGACAATGCTTGTCCCCTATTGCTTCTTAGGGTGTATGCACTTACGTTGCGAAAACCTACAGCCCGGTGTCGTTTTGTTGAGAAGTGTCAAAACAGGAAAATGTTACTTAATACAGTCAATTTTATTTGCCTCTAACATGAATGATAAAGCCACCCTACGAACTAAACCAGTTTTGTTTATCTGTAGTATTGAACCTATTTAGACAAATGGCGTAACTCGGGCTGCACACACATGACGCTGCTAGCAGCTGATGATGATGATGTCACGTGGTAATAGTTTTTGAAGGCTATAAAATATCAACCTTCCATTCTATGTGTAGAAATCGCTGTAAGACCTGATACGGATTCTTATCAGCTTTGTATAAAATCTAAAGAAATGTGTTTGACAAACTGATAAATTCTGCTAGAGATTGCACAAATATATTAAACAAAGGTTCATATCATTTTATATTCCATACGTAGAATTTTCGAAAAGGGGGAATTCCAGTTTGCAAAGTGTACCAATGTTACTTGTGTTCTGATTTGTACCGAAGCGTCACAGAAGCCTAAGGGAGATTAAATAATTTAGGAAGTTTAGGATTCTGCACAATAATGTCAATTAATAATACTGGGATAACGAAAAAGAGACTGCGAGGCAGACTGGGTGGTGGGGGGAGCCAAAGGACGTCAAAATTTTGGAAAATAGCCACTTGGTACACCAAAAAAGAGGTTACCCAAAAAGCGTACGGTAAAGGAACAGCTATTTATAGTTACTTGTCCAGCGTGTGTTTACATTTATTCCATGCCATCGTGAACAAAGTATAATTACGTAATCGGTTAGCTGAGAAATGTATTGCACACCTACCATTAAATTCTGCCCCACAAATCGGCACATTATGGTTCCTACCCACCCGTTTGTCCTTTGTTGCACAAAGTCTCTCTTCACGAGGGACTGAATTTTAAAACTTAATAAGTTATTTGTCACAATCTCGTAAGAGTGAGTCCACTTGTTTTGTCGTATCACTGCCGCTTACATATAGATAGATGGCCGAAACTTCGCTAACAGCACAGCAAACATTTTAAAAGCAAGTACTCTTAATGACAGACCTTGCTTGTCCCTAACACGTGACACAGCAAGTACACTTTATATATTCTTCTTGTCTTTACTAATTAGGCAACTTAATGCCTGTAACGGCTTCAGAATCCTCTTTCCAGTCACTAGTCTTCCTCTTATTTTTCGCCTCTTATTTTATGCGTACAATTCCGCGTTAGATTCAAGTACCTGTTTTCTGTCTGCATGGACTTTTCAGTTCTTCTTGTACGCATGTTGTTGTATTATCGACTTCTCTCACGTACTTAAACGTTTGTGTTTTATAATCTTGCTTATCTAGCTAACTCCATGCATCACAGCTCTTCTTGAACTTGAATGTTCATATCCTGTTCATAAAAGCTCTCCAGTGCTCCTTATTCTAAGTCTGGTCAACCCTCGTTTCCTAGAGATCCGTTTTAATAGTATTCTTCCTTCCATGCGTAGTTCTTTCAAATGAGCTCTTCCTTTCAGTTTCTGTGAGCAATATTTTGCTGAACTCTTACATATCCCCTTCATGCTACATACGCTATACATATCATCTTCCCTGACTTCCTTTGGCATTTCAAAAGACGTCTACAGGTCCTGTGCATCCTTTCTTTTACAGTACGGAAGTATTGCTCCCCGCCTGACCCCCATGTGGAGGACCATCCCTTATCGGCTTTCCGCGACAGTTTATTCAGTATATTTGCAGCTACTTGTATGTATGTAGGCCGTGTGTTCCATCCTGCAGGTCGTAAGAGGCCATCTTTCTGTCAGCGTCCATGTCTTGATGGAGGTAGTTCATACCAGGCTTGCCACGCGACCGAAAATATTTTTCTCTGAAGGCATACACATACTTATGCAACGCAGGACCAAATTTGTTGAAAAGCAGACGGATGATGAAGATGGCTGTCTTCTGGGTTATTGCGCCTTATAGTCTGGTAGAAGGTATTGTAGATGCGTCATATTGTGAATTAATAGTATTAAAATATTTAAATATTTAAAAATAACCGTCAATCACAATAAAATTAAAAGATTAAAAGATTAAAATATCATATTATGTTCCCTATCGAGTACTCGATTTACATATGGAACTTACACAACATGTTTCAGTGAAAAGTTTATATATAATACACCAGATGATGGCTACATATAGCCGAAACATGTTGTGTAAGTTTCATATGTAAATCGAGTAGTCGATAGGGAACATAATATGATATTTTAATCTTTTAATCTTTTAATTTTATTGTGATTGACGGTTATTTTTAAATATTTAAATATTTAAGTCTGGTAGAAGTTCGCCGTTATTTCAGAGATTCCAACGATGAACAAGTCCAAGCGGAGTTGGGCTCAAAACAGGAGAGTTGGCAATCCTAATCACAGTTACTGTAGCAATGTTACAAATTTATAATTGTCCATCTTTATAAATCTCGTGGCAAGGCAAATTTGTTTATATAAACACTGTAATTAGTTTTAAGTGTGGATGACTTTGAACTGCTTATTAGCTGGCAGTTTCTTTTGATCTTTGGAAAACATTACATTTTCGAATCAATCATATTGTACTAAATTTTAGTAGCCCATAATTAAGTTTTAATAGAACATGTGATACGGAGAAAGGATTTGGGCTGTGGACAGAACACGGGAAGAACAAATATTTCCCAGAAGACTAAGATACGTGCATTTGTGGGACACCGTCTGCTTCGTTAAAATTTAATCAACATCCTACTTCACTATACTCTTTCTATAATATAATTCAGTTTATGTATTAACTCTCTGAAGTCGAAATTCGTCTAAACAATATATAAGAATTCAGTTCATACCGCACATAAATACAAATACTTAACAGTTACGAGTGGGCTTTAAAGGATTAAGGACGTATTTATAGTGTGGTTCAACTCACTACATAATCTGGAATGTCTATAATACCACCACAAAGAACCTTTTTGTAACATCATTTAGTTGCACAAAGATTTCCCTAAATAAATATTAATTCCTACTTTTCTTCAAATGAGTCCCTACGTACACTGGGAAGCTAAGGAATTAAAAATCTGTAAAAATGCGACTGACATGTTAGTGAAATGTTCTGTCTACGTATAATTTATATTAATACCGATTCCTGTTAATTTGAACTTCTCATGCGTAGCCATGTTTACAATTAAGATGACTGTCTTTTGGGATGCTGCGCCATGTAGCCTCGTAGAAACTGTCTGGAGTTTCAGAAATGCCTTCATCAGGTCGCCAAGTTGATGGATACAGTAAGCACCTTTTGAAATGTCGGTCAATTTCTACGAGAATAAACGGCGCCAGAAGACAGTCATATTTTTACTCGCCGTCGTGAGAACTTGAATTCTTACCTTTTTATGTTTAGCATACTGTGAAATGTTTATGAAGAATTTGTAGGTTTGTTTGCTATCTCCATACGAAATGTTTCATTACTTGTTGCTATAAAATTTAAATTGAAACAGAATTTAG